ATCTTATTCAAATAAAAAGTATTTTAAGTTCAAACACTGACATTATAAAACTGAAAAATCAATTCAATCTTGAAATAAGAACAAAGGTGGAAAAAACATTTAGTGAAATGAAATAAGTTTATTTTTGTGTGTATTTCAGGTAGTTGGCAAAGCAAAATGTAGCATTTTGTACACTACTACTAAAATAACTAAAATTATAACTGAAATAAAATGAATAAAAAACCCACTGATCTATATATAATGTTCTCTATTTTAGATCAGTGAAAGAACCACACAACAAAATGACAAAAAATGTACAATTAAAACCAAAACAGAAAATAAGAGAATATGTATTTTAAATATTAAGAAAAACTAGTAATTAATTACAAAAAAATTGTAATTAATAAAATTGCTTAATAAAAATTAATTAATTAATCAAATATAATTACACATGTATGTACAAAAAAGACTAATAAAAATTAATAAAACCACACAAATTAAAATGAAAATGGAAAACATAAAAAAAAGAATTAATTCAGAATATTTATAAAAACTATATTAATATCTCAATGATACTTCAATAACACTGGTTATAAGATTAAGTACCATTGTAAATATTGCAATAATACATTTGTTTTCATAAAGATTAATTTATACACATCTCTGTCCTGCTGCTGTATTAATATGAAAGCGGCAAATATATATTTTTTACAGCAGCTTTGAACTTCAGACGCTAAGGATTAGTTTATTTAATTCATCTCCATGATTGATTCCCATCATTGATTCATCAGTTTCAATGAATCATTCTAAACTCTCATTCATAGTTAATAATATTTCTGTTTCTTTGCTGTTGTTGAGGTGCACATAAATGAAATAGATTAAATATCCTTTCTTGTTCATCAAGCCCAAAAGTGTTTTTTTACTGCACCAAGGCTTTAATTGATCAAACACTGAAATATTATTACTATTTAAAATGCATGTTTTCTATTGTTATGTATTTTAAAATGTAATTTATTCGTGTGATGCAAAGCTGAATTTTCAGCATCATTACTCCAGTCTTCAGTGTCACATTATCCACCAGAAATCATTCTAATAAGCTGATTTGCTGCTCAAGAAACATTTCTGATTATTATCACTCTTGAAAACAGTTTCTGCTTCATATTTTTGTTTTGTAGAAATAGTGATGCAATTTATTTTTCAGGATTCTTTGAGTAGAAATTTACTGAAATGAAGAACAGCATTTATATGAAATAGAAATCTTTTGTAGCATTATAAATGTCTTTACTGTCACTTTTGATGTACAACTTAATGCATCCTTGTTGAAAAGTATTAATTTCTTTCACAAAAGCCTTTGAAAACTTTTGGACGATAGCCTACATGCATAAATCAAGATATATTTATATTTAAAAACTGACACATTTTTTCCCCACTATATGGCTTAGCCATATTAGATAACAGAGCCACAGGACCATAAAAGACAGAATGATGGACGTTAGAAAGGTTTGTGAGATGTGCATTAACAGCCAGAGAATGAGAGAATTACAGAGGCAGCGAGTGTTTTTTGTCTGGCCGTCCCAGCGTGCATTGGGACCGTGTCGCCTTTCTCTCCTTTGTGCGTAAAATCGGGATCCGTTTTAATGAGTTTCACCCTCTTTTCTTCTCTGTCTATTATCATATTCTGTCTTCCTCTAATCTGTGTTCTACATTTCTCATTCTGTCTTTGGTTGGTGTCTGAAGGCGGTTAGTCAGAGGAGCAGCGCTCATATCCTGACAGCCTGTTCGCTGCTGTTAAACTAATTTTACTCCCAAGACTTGCAGCGTTTTTCTTCTGTATAAATGAGGTTATGAGTTGAAACTGTGAGAAAGCGCTCGGTGGCGTTTCATCTATAAATGAAGGAGAAACACATTTGAACCGTATGATCGTATCAGCGGCGTCTGCTTAATGATATTGTCCTGATACCAGGGGCGCGTTAAAGCAATAAGCCGACTGGACGGGATGTTGTTAGGCACAGCGTCACTGCATAAATGTATTAACAGTAATAATCATGCAAAGCAGTTCCTTCATTGTGTGTCATTAGCTTAAGTGTACAATGTGTATGGTTGTGAAACAACATGCTGCGTTAATACAGAGCTCAACTGATGTGCATCACAGGTGTTTGTGTGTATCAGCCAATCACAACAGCTGAAAATGTGACTCGTCCAATCAGATTTTAGAACCGGAACTGTTGTACATGGTTATTTGTGGGCTTTGATCTCATGCAGATGAACAATTTTTTTATTTATTGTCTCTCTTGCAGTGTTGTTATTGTCAACTAAAGATAATAAAATAGTTTTGTTAATTGAAATAAAGCTGAAATAAAACTAAAATAATAATAAAAAAAAAAAAACTTGGTTAGAAATGTTCAAAGAAAATGAGAGATGCTGCCTTGGCAACTACCTGAAAATTTAAATAAATTAAAGGTGTGGATGGATGGATGGATGGATGGATGGATAGATAGATGGATAGACGGCTAGATGGATGGATGGATGGATGGATAAAGATAGATGGATGGATGGATGGATGGATGGATAAAGATAGATGGATAGACGGCTAGATGGATGGATGGATGGATGGATAAAGATAGATGGATAGATATGGATGGATGGATAAAGATGGATGGATGGATAGATTTGGATGGATCGATAGATATGGATGGATGGATGGATGGATGGATAAAGATAAATGGATGGATGGATAGATTTGGATGGATAGATTTAGATAGATACAAATGACAAAAGTACAAACACACAACAGAAATATTAAAAACGTAAAACTTACATTAACATTGTAAGTAAACAAAATAAATTGAAATAAAATTAAACAAAAACTTTAATTTTTACAAAAAAATTTAAGAAAAAACAGATAACAGATTAAAAAACACTAAAGCACATAACAAAATAGCTAAATTACTATTTTACAAAATAAAATTACAACTTTAAAAATGGCTAATTCAGCTAATTCAAAATACTCTAATAGATAATTTTGTGATGATTATTATTATTGTTATTATTATATACTATGGTCACTTTAGGTTGGGGACAAATTCTCACTACTATTTATGACTTTTTCTTCAATAAACTCCTAATTTGCTGCTTATTAATAGTTAATAAGGAAGTTGTTAAGTTTAGGCATTGGGAAGGACGAAGGGATTTAAAATATGGTCATGCAGCATAAGTTATTAATATGTGCTTTATCAGTACTAATAAACAGCCAATATGCTAGTAATATGCATGCTAATAAGCCACTAGTTTATGGTGAGAATTGGTTCCTAAACTAAAATGTTACCTATACTATTATCAAATTCTATGATTGTATATAAATCATCCTTAACATGTCTCTTGTCCTCCATTTCTTAACATTTGGAGAAAAAATAAAATTATATTAATATAGATGGTTAAACAAATAAGTGAGTGCTATATATGATTTGGATGGATGCATAGACACATTGATTGATGGATCACAGGTGGTGATTGGATGACTGATATATGAAAGAGATGGCTGAATGTAAATATAGAGGGATGAAGGTGCCAATGACTGTTGTATGTTGTAGATCGCACCGGAGGAGCTGTCTGAAGGCAGTTTCTGGGTGAAGGCGAAAGAGGAGCGCTTTGAGAACAAGGAGCTGTTTGCCAAACTCACTCTGACCTTCTCCTCCCAGACCAAGAGTGAGTAGATCAGCCATCCTCCAGTCACTTCACACACACCACACACACACCGTCACACATTAAACCTGTCTCTCTCTCTCCTCTGTCTGTCTTACTCAACACAGCCTCTAAAGGTAAGAGACTACCCTCGCTCTTTGCTTGTGCATCTCTGTGTGTGTGTGTGTCCACTGAGACACTCATTCCGAGACACTGGGCCAAACGTGGATGACAGAATACAGGGATGTGAAAGAGATGGGTGTCATCTCAGTGTAGAGCACAACATCAGGACCAGTGCTGAGTTTGATGATGACAGAGACACGTGTGTGTGTGTGTGTGTGTGTGTGTGTGTGTGTGTGTGTGTTTACTGAAGGAGAGGGTGAATCTCATGAAAACGTGTCCACAATTCACCCCAAAACTAAAAGAAAACAACATCAACAACTGTTAAACAAAGAAAATGAAGCCAGATTTAGGACCATTAAGTACATTGTCCTCTCAAAATGCAAAAAAATCTTAATCTTTCCTCTTTTTTTTAAATTGTCATTCTTAGTTGTGTTTCTCATTACCATATTGAGGTCGTTTTAAATCATTTTTTATTTTATTGATTATTATTGCTTATCATTTGGTTTTGTTTAAATGTTATTATTGTTTTATATTAAATATTAGATTAAAAACTAAAACTGAAGAAATTAAACAAGTAAAAAAATAAGTTGAAGTACTAAAATTACAACACAAGTAAATAGAAATATTACAAAAAATTACTTATTTTGTTTATATACTATTATAAAATATAAATAAATGTACATAAATAATACTTTAACACTGGTTTCTTGTTTATTTCTTGATATTTGGAGAACATTTTTATATTATTTAGAGAAATTTTGTGGATTATTGTTGATTATTATTTAGTTGGATATTTAATTCATTCATTTAGAAATACGTTATCATATTTAATTATTTATTGTTACATTGTTTTCTTTTTTTATTAATATCAGCAATAATTGCCACCCTGACTTATAAATACATTGAATTTCTGTAATATACTGCATATCGTTTATGCAGTACAATATTCATTTTTAATGGATTAATTGGAAAACAGAAAACAAAAAGTCAGCACACCAAAGCTCTAAAAAAAAATGCAAAAAATGAAATACTGGACTATTACACAGTGCAAACATAACAGTGCAAATAATCTTAATGGCCCTAAAAGGAGTCTCTTTTAGATATTTTGGGGTGAAATATGACCTGCACATGATCTTGAAGGGTTTCATGAGATTCGCCCGATGTCATATTTTCGGTGACTGTATGCAAAAGCCCCTCATGAATTAGAAATGAGCAAGAAGCAAGTGTCAGGTATGTGTGTGTTTCGTGCCACCTGCTCTTTGTCCTCTATGACTGGCCTTTACAGTTTTACTGCATATTTATATCTGATAAGATATACAGCACTGTCGCCTTTAACAAGGTGTGTGTGTGTGTGTGTGTTTGTGTGTGCATGAGGTTTTTAGGCCTGTGTATGTGGCTTCGCCCTTCAGCAAATGACCTTCAAAGAGTGTGATGTTGTCATGCATCCGCCGCGATCTCGCTCTCTCTCTCACACACACACACACACACTCAGAGTGTTTTCTGTTTTGAATATGGAATACGAAACCTTGAAATGTCATCTTTGGCAGCTGTTTTCCTCAGGACCACCTGAGTGCCGTGTGTGTGTGTGTGTCCAGCTGTCTGAGTTGATGTAGGATAACCTTTTCTGATATCTGACTGTAAATGAATGCTGCCCTTTTCAGATCTTCCATCTGTCCGATCCTGTCCGTAAAACACGAGCGTTTGTGTGTGTGTCCATCCTTGAGCAGGATTCTGTTGTTCTCTTCTGTCATACGGCTGCAGTCGTATCTGTCTCTCTCTCTCTCTCTCCTCCAGTCATCTCACTCTCTCCAGCCAAGCGAACGCACGCCACCGACAGCCAGAGCTGACCTCTGACCTCTGCTCCTCTGGTGTGCTGACGGTGGGGTCGCAGGTCGATGACCTCTCCAGTGAGGTCACGGCACTGATTGTTGATGTAATGCGACAGGACCTCGAGCACATGATCTTCCTCTCTCTTTCTGTGGGTGTTTGTTACTGTTGCTCATTCTCACACTGAACTCCCATGGCAGGTCATTTATTTGGTCAAAAATACAGTAAAAACAGTACATTATAAAATATTATTACAATTTAAAATTACTGTTTCCTATTTGAATATATTTTAAAATGTAATTTTTTCCTGTGATTGCAAAGCACATGCAATTTACTACTGTGCAGAACAATAATTCATGCACATTATTTTTGTTTTGTTTTACAGTGGCATTTTAATAAGAAAATACTTTTTTATAAAAATTTTATTTTTATAATTCTCTTTAATGTCTTTTTTTGAACAATTTAATGTGTCTTTGCTGAAGAGAAGTATTAATTTCTTTCAAAAAATAAAATCTTGCTGACCTAGGGCTGGGCGATATAGCTAAAAAATGTATCAACGATATAATGTTTCATATCGTTCAGTGTAGATAATTATTGACATTTTTTAAAACAAAGAGCAATAGAAAAAATGTTTTAATTTAACCACTGTATTTTTAAATTAACCCAATTTATTGAGACAAACAACAGATATTTTTTGTTTTAACAGTCAAACACAAAATAAAATGAGTGGCATTAAACAGCTTGAAAGATCAAAGACAATTTTTAATATAACTCTGACTGGATTTGTCTGAAAGAAGAAAGTCATATACACCTAGGATGACTTGAGGGTAAGTAATTTGTGGGCTAATTTACATTTTTGGGGGAACTAACCCATTAAGGAAACTGAAGCCACAGGAGGGCACAATGAGCAAAATAATGCAGCGCATTAAATTGTCAATGCAAAGGAAATAACTGTCTACAAAAAAAAACGTGCATTACGTCTAAATTAACTCGTATAAATCAAACATAATTTCGTAAATTGCATAAACAATTATGAACAAAACAGCATCATGATATGCAAGTGTTATAACAAGTCTCAGTTAGCTTAACGCAGTACACGTAGCAAGGTTTTTTTTTGTTTTTTATTATTATATAATGAATAAAAAAATAAAAATAAAACCGATAGAATAGAAAAAGAATAGAGCAAGCTAGTGTTAGAAGTCTTTTTTGCTTTTGTTAATTGTATAATAAATAAAAAAAACAAATAGATAGAATACAAAAAGATTAGAAAAGCTAGTGCTAGTTTTTTTTTTAAAGAAAACAAAGCAATTAGTAAATGAATAGAGTGCAAGTGTAAAAGGGACAAGTTTTTTTTTTTTTTATAAAGAATAGAATTAGAATAGAGAGTGCTAGAGTTAGAGGTCAAATAAAGATGGAAAAGATGGATTTTTAGCCGATTCTTGAAGATGGCTAAGGACTCAGCTGCTCGGATTGAGTTGGGCAGGTCATTCCACCAAGAGGGAACATTTAATTAAAAAATTTGTGAAAGTGTTTTTGTGCTTCTTTGGGATGGCACAATAAAGCGACGTTCACTTGCAGAACGCAAGCTTCTAGAGGGCACATAAGTCTGAAGTAATGAATTTAGGTAAAGTGGTGCATAGCCAGTGGTGGTTTTGTAGGCAAAAATTAATGCCTTCAATCTTATGCGAGCAGCTATTGGTAGCCAGTGCAAATTGATAAATAGAGGTGTGATGTTCATTATTTTCGGCTCATTAAAAATTTATCTTGCTGCCGCGTTCTGGATTAATTGTAAAGGTTTGATAGAACTGGCTGGATAACCTACCAAGAGAGCATTGCAATAGTCCAGCCTGGACAGAACAAGAGCTTGAACAAGGAGTTGTGAAGCATGTTCCCGAAAGAAAGGGCCTATATAATAAATAATATACAGGTTTTAGATAAAGCAATGTGAGCAAATAATGACAAAAATAATGAATGATTGGGTAGATTATTCCTTTAAAATGTATTATCATCATTATCAGATATAGTGCTGTCATTAATAAAACAAAGTCACTGTGGCTGTTTTTGAAGGAGTTATGGTTGATGTGCCTAACTGGATGGTGAAATTGTGATGAAACGATGGGTTTGCTGGAACAACAAGCAGTTCTGTCTTGGCAAGGTTGAGTTGAAGGTGATGGTCCTTCATCCAGCAAAAAATGTCTGTTAGACAAGCGTGAGATGTGAGCAGCTATTGTCGAATAATCAGGATAGAATGAGAGGTAGAGTTGAGTGTCATCAGCATAGCAGTGATATGAAAAGCCATGTTTCTGAATGACAGAACCTATGAAGGTGATGGTCCTTCATCCAGCAAAAAATGTCTGTTAGACAAGCGTGAGATGTGAGCAGCTATTGTCGAATAATCAGGATAGAATGAGAGGTAGAGTTGAGTGTCATCAGCATAGCAGTGATATGAAAAGCCATGTTTCTGAATGACAGAGCCTAGTGATGCCATGTAGACAGAGAAGAGGTCCAAGAACTGAGCCCTGAGGCACCCCAGTAGTTAGATGTTGCGACTGTAATATACACTGTTTATTTTTATTAAAAAGAGCAATAATTTGCTGGTAAATGCTGGTAACACTTTCTATGAAGCCCATATTTATAACACATTATAAGGGTATTCTTAAGGCATTATAATGAATGCATGATGCATTATAAAAAACCTTATGTTATATCAGGCATTATAATGAATGCATAATGCATTATAAAAGACCTTATAATATATTATATAATCTTATAAATAATCATAACAATTATAATACATTATAATACTTACGCATTTGTGGTTATAAGTTTTAAGATTATGGTTATTTATAACACACAATGAACACCATATAAAATCAATTTTTACATTTATAATGGACTATATATCTTGACATTGTTTATTTAAGATCTGCACAGTATCTTACTACATCTTGTAAGTGGTTAGGTGTGGAGTGTTATTTGAGTGTTCCCTGTGAGGAAGAATGTTCATTTTGATGTGAGCTAGTTAATAATTTCAACTGAAAAAAATGCAATGTTTATATGTTAGGTTACATTTTATTTTCATGGTCCCCCTAGTCTATAAGCAACTTTGCAACTACATATCAACGTAGGCTTAGGTTAAGGTTAGGCTGGTAGAATGTTGACGTACTTGCACAGTTACTTGTAGTCA